GGTACATTGCAATGAGTGCCACACCTAGACCCCAATACTGACAAAGCCCAAATTTTACGTGGAACGAGTTGAGATTATAGGTGACCTAAATCCAAGAGATGGGTATGGAGGCCCTTACCGTCTAGGAGGAGAAGCGGTAACGGTGACATGGCGGCGGAGCCGGCGGAACATACGGGTTGGGACTAAAACCATGGGTACCGCCAGCGCCTACGCTGGTGGTACAATTAACTCCTATCTACATTTTGGTCGAGATTAACATCTGAGGGTCACAAACTTTCCAAAGATAATTGCTTTATATTACTGGCAATATTTGGATTGATTATGTTCGAGTTTTAGGTAATCTTTGGTTTTGGTCAATTACTGGACTGGGGAAAAAAGACTTCAAACATTACACATTCTGTGACTATTTGGATGTCAAGTACAAACACAATAGCCCCAAACCCTATGACTTCTAAAATGTTAAGGCATAACGGCTAGGGGATTAGTAGGGTGGGGAGGGAAAGTACAAAATCTAGCAATAGGTTTATTTCTAATTATGTTGTCTACTGCAAGCTGGGGAACTATACTTGGTTCTCAGAGTAATTGTCTTTTTGAGACAACAAAGGACAATGTGATGTTCAATATCTTATGTCACTTTTTGTTGAGGCACATCAATTAAACATAAAAAACTTCCACCATCTCCCCAAAATATGTTACATTTCAAAAACATACCAACATAATAATACACATTTATGAAACATTACTTCCACCATATCTTTACCATATCAATTTCATTCAATTGAAATAAACCAACCACCAAATTTTACAGTTAATCAACAATGATCAAGTATGTATGAATACAAATACAAAGGAACAGGGCAAAATACCACAATGAAGTTGGTTTAGATTCTTAAATCCATTAAATTGAATAAGTATAATCATTTGATAGTGTGACACCTTTTATCATACATTCCCTAAACTACTTCATTTAGCATTATGTAAAACATTGCCTGAAAATTTCAGTTCAATTACATTAACTTGTTCATAGTTGAGTATTTTGTAATTGAACAGATTTTCAAGGTCTTGATATCAGTAGATAAAATTCTAATTTAAAATACATTCATTTTTTAAAATTAGTTTATTATATTAACCACAATAAGCACTGACAAGTAAGAATGAAGCAATAAGTATACAACTAAACAATCCCACTGACAAGACTTTCAGATCAAAACAAACTATCACTTTAGTTACACTGCAAGAAACACCGTAATTTCATAAAGAAAACACTCGCTAGATTTACTCTCTACTTACACTTACAAATCCGCCATTTGATGCCCCATGGTAATTTACAGTATATTCCTGCATAAATAACATCAGATCATAAACTGAGGACCAAAATAGTCTTGGCTTAGGTTCTTTTGGACCCAATTCCCTATTTGTCAAATCATCAATCTTTTTGCCTACATTGGTTATTTTGATTAAAATATCAAACTGGCCCAGAAAAATTAATAAAAATTTGGTGAAAGCATATATGAAGCAAAAAAAAAAAAA